CGGCTCTCCACGTGGGTCCCCTCTAGTCCGCACAGGAGCGGGTCTAGCCTGGGACAGCAGCCCAGAGGGCTTAGCCTGCTGCCCTCTCCCCCCACCACGCCACCCTCTGTCTGTCTCTGTCTCTCTGTCCTCTCTCTCTCTGACAATACTGGGCCTGGAACTCAGAGCTTTGCACTCTTCCTTGGCTTTTTCACTCAAGGCTGGTGCTCTACCACTTGAGCCAGACCTGCACTTCGAGCTTTTTGCTCGTTCATTGGACAGAAGGGTTGGATTTTCCTCCCTAGGCAGGATCTCAGCTCCTGAGTAGGTAGGATCGCAGGCCAGCGCTCTCAGTGCCTGGCGGATGCTCTTTCCTCTCTCTCTCCTCTGCACCTGTTAGCTTTGACCCAGAAATGCCAGTTCTGGCAGGGCGCTGGTGGTGGCTCACGCCTGTAATCCCAGCTACCTAGAGGCTGAGGATCTGGAGGATTACAGTTCAAAATCAGTCCAGTCAGGAAAGTCTGTGAGACTCTTATCTTCCATGAACCACCAAAAAGCCAGACCTGGAGTTGTGGCTCAAGTGGCAGAATGCTAGCCTTCAGTGAAAGAGCTCAGGACAGTTCCCAGGCCCCAAGTTCAACAAAGACACACACACACACACACAGACAGACAGAGAGTCAGACAGACAGACAGACACACACACACACACACAGGCACACACGTCCGTTCTGGAAAGAGCTCCTATCTAAGGAGTCCAGCTTTTCATGGAACAGATGAAAATCCTGACCTTGGGAAGAAGGCTTGACCTTGTCCCCAAGGTTGGCCAGCACTGGCCTTCCAGGGCCCCGGCCTGACACCACGCCGGCATCTGCACACCTCGTTGTCCCTGATCAATGGAGCACTGAGTGACGGCCACTGGACAATGTCAAGCCTGTCTCTTCCAGAGACACAGACACACCAGGTCTGAGAGACACGATTCCAGTTAGGGCAGGTATTTAGCAGGTGGAAAATTCCACACTTCCCCCAACACCCCCTTTTGGTGGTAGTTGGTTTCTTGAGACAGGGTCTTATTATAGCCAAGCCTGGCGTGGAACGCAATGAGTCCTCTTGCGTCCATGCCCCACGCCTGTTTGGCTCACAGCTGGTGCTCTACCACTTGAGCCACAATTCCATTCCTGGCTTTTTTGGGCAGTTGTCGCCTTGAACTCTGGGCCTGGGCGCTGTCCCTCAGCTCTTCAGCTCAAGTCTAGCGCTCTACCACTTGAGCCACAGTCCCACTTCTGGCTTTTTCTGCTTATGTGGTGCTGAGGAATTGAACCCAGGGCCTCATGCTAGCAAGGCAAGCACTCTACCACTGAGCCACCTTCCCAGCCCCGATTTCCGCCTTTTTGCTGGTTCACTGGAGATCAATGTCTCACGGACTTTCCTGCCTGGGCTGGTTTTGAACCGTGATCCTCCATATCTCAGCCTCCTGAGTAGCTAGGATGTGAGCCCCTGGCACCCCCGCACACCCCCATCCCCCCTTCCCCGCCCTCCCATTTGCCATGCCCTGGGCCCCCTGCGGCCTCAGGCTTGTCAGAGCTGCCAGGACCACGCAGGAGGCCTTGGTGATGCGCTATGGTATTTAATAGAGTCATCTTGGGCCAACTCAGGCATGAGGACCGCTCAGGTGTGGGGGGAGTCGGCCGCTTCCTTCGGGGAGGCCGCCGGCTTGCCCGGCTGCTGGGGTTCCAGCTTGGGGGGCCGCTGGGGGTCCGTGGAGGAGATGAAGACATTCTGCAGAACGCAAGGTGACTCAGGTGAGGATGGTGTCCCATGTCCAGGGACCCAACGATCCACAGCCCGAGGCCTCTGACTTCTGACAGATTCCCAGGCTTGTGATGCCACAAGGCTGAGCAGGGTTCCCGATGGGGCGTCTGGGGGGTGGAGGCGCCCAGGGTTGGGGTGGGAGGAGCCCACACAGGAGAGTGTCAGACAGAGGAAGGGTTTGGGGTGGAAGTGGACGACACACTGGGAGGGTGCTGAGCGCCGGTGCTCACGCCTGTCATCCCAGCCACTCAGGAGGCTGAGAGCTGAGGATCGCGGTTCCAAGGCCGCCTGGGAAGGAAAGTCCATGAGACTCCTATGTCCAGTGAACCAGCCAAAAGTCAGACAAAGCAAAAGAGCTCAGGGACAGCAGCCAGCCCGTGTTCAAGACCCAGCACCGGCACAGAAAATAATTAAAAAGAGTCCACAGTACTTTCTGGAACCCTCTATCATGAGCGAAGGATGGAAGGCCCTGGAGCAGGAGAATGCAGGACCGAGGCTGAGCGTGGGGGGAGTGTGTGCGGCTTCCTGACGAGGTAGCTCAGCCCTGGGATGCCTGGGACAATGTAGCCATGCTGTCACTGGGAACTGGGCTCGAACTCAGAGCCTTGCGTATTCATATGGCTGGTGCTCGACCATTTGAACCACAGCTCCACTTGTAGCCTTTGTGCTGGTTCATTGCAGAATCTCATGGATCTGTCTGCCTGGGCTGGCTTTGAACTTTGGTCCTCAGATCTCCGCCTGTTCGGAGCTGGGATGACAGGTGTGAGCACAGGACCTGGCCACAGTCACCTTGAAGCACACACAATACTTGGGGGAGCGGGGGGGGGGGGGAGCAGGGACAGAGCTCCCCCTTCAGGAGCTGCCCCCCCATTCCTCCAGGCCCCGGTCTCCTGAACCCCTGGAATTCTCTGGTCTGACTCACAGCCGGGTCTGTGAGGACGAGGCTGGAGGCATGCTGGAAGCCGTGCTCCTGCTCCTGCAGCCGCGTGGCCAGGTCCTGCTTCTCCCGTCCCCAGCGCCGCGCCGAGTCCTCCAGCTGCACACACCAGACAGGCGCTGCAGAGCCCCGGCCGTGCGGCCCATGCACACAGGCCCGGGCCTGCGCCCACACCTGCGCCACCCCAGCACACCCACGGGAAGCCGGACAGAGGCCATTCAGCCAGGGCTCCAACACACAGACAGACCGACTCTACAGCCCACAGCATACTGAGCCCTCAGCCCAACTCTGATCACAGACTGAGCCTGGAGAGGGCTCACACACTAAGCCCTGATCCTGGTCACACACTGAGCTCTGATCATGGTCACACACTGAGCTCTGATCATGGTCACACACTGAGCCTTCATCCCAGCCACACACTGAGCTCTGATCATGGTCACACACTGAGCCTGATCAAGGTCATTCACTGAGCCTGATCTTAATCATTCACAGAGTCCTGATCCTGACTACATACTAAGCCTTGATCCTGGTCATACACAAAGCCTTGAGAGTGCTCACACACTGAGCTTTGATCTGAGTCACAAACTGCACCTTGATCCTGGTCACGCAGTGAGCCCTGATCCTGGGCCACACAGAGTCCTGATCCTGACCACATACTGAGCCTTTATCCTGGTCACAGACTGGGCCTCAATCCAGGTCACATACTGAGCCTTGGCCCTGGTCACCGACCTGCCTGGATCCTAGTCACATACTAAGCCCTGGTCCTGGTCACCTACTCAGCCCTGACCCTACTTGTGTACTGAGCCTCCATCTTGGTGGCAGGCTGAGCAGTGAGCCAAGGCTCACCTCACCCACCAGGTTTTCCAGGGCCAAGATCCGGTTCTGAGCGCGCTCCAGCTTGGCCAGCAGGTTAAGCTTGTCTGAAGAGCTGCTGCCCAGGAGATCCTGTGGACAAGGCAGAAAGTCCGCTGTGCGGCCGCGGGGGGCGGCGGCCAGGCCAGCTCCTGTGAGCTCTGGCGGTGCTGAGACAGCCGGCTCTGAGTTCTAAACTCAGCTTCCTCCACACAGCACAGGCTCTGGCCGCACCGAGATTCTCTCACAGATCGGAACCTTCCCAAGTTGTCGGCTGTTTGTGATGTGGTGCCAGTCCTCAGGGCCTGAGCATTCTCCCTTGGCTCTTTTCTGCTCCAGGCTGAGGCTTGACCCACACTCCCGCCTCTGGCTTTTGGCTGCTTCTTGGAGAGCAGAGTCTCTTAGACCTTCCCGACTGGGCTCAGCTGTGAGCCCCGTGAGCAGCCTGGATGGCAGGCGTGAGCCATGGGTGCCTGGCTGGCCTCTACAGATGCACACATGCATGTTTGCATGTGAACAACTCATGTGTGGGAGCTTTCTTTCATGCCCACAAGGGACTGTGTGGAGAACGTTCTGGAAGATCCTGTGAAGAAGCCAAAACACCGGTCCCTATGGGGCAGCTGGCTCCGCATGAGGAAGTGTTTTCCAGGCAGTGAGCCCAGAGTGTCCCAGCCCTGGCTGTCATCCCGGGACCCGCCCTGAGCTTGCGTGAAGCTGAGGCCTGGCCCTGGACCCACCTGTGCAGACAGGGTCTCTGGCCATCCATCTCCTGCAGCCTGTCTGCGCGTCTCCACCTGCTCCCAACTCCCCAGGGTCCACCTGGCATGGGGGGGGGAAGGGCTTTCCAAGGCTGTACCAATCCCAGGGAAGGTTCTAGAAGGGAGTTCTGGGAGGCCTGGATGGGGTCCAGGTAGAAGTTGGAGGAGGGTCAGGGTTCATGTGGGGCTGGCTCGGAACCTCAAAGTTCAAGGCGAGTGAAGGAGGAGAGTTCCGATGCACACGTGTACCCCTGTACCCCGGGAACAAAAGCAAGGTGTGCAAGTTCACATCCCAGGGGACACCTAGAACCCCACTGCACCCAGGAGCCTAGCATGGAGGTTTTTCCCTCTGGTCCTGGGGCTTGAACTCAGGGCCCAGGTGCTATTCCTGCGTTTCTTTAGCTGAAGGCCAGCGCTCTACCACTGGAGCCACAGTGCTACCGGCAGCTCTTCTGAGTAGTTCATGGGAGATAAGACTCTCCCTGACTTTTCTGCCCATGCTTTCCTCAAACCATGATCCTCAGATCTCAGCCTCCTGAGTAGCTAGAATGACAGGCGTGAGCTGCCAGCTCCTGGCTGCAGTTTTCTTTTTTGTCAGTAATGGGACTTGAACTCTAGGCCTGGGCACAGTTCCTCAGCTCTTCAACTCAAAGCAAGTGTTCTACCACTTGGGCCACAGCACTACTTCTGGTTTTCTGGTGGTTTACTGGAGATAGGAATTTCAGGGACTTTTCTGCCCAGGCTGGCTTTGAACTGCGATTCTCAGATCTCA